GGACTTGTAGACTCCTTCCATCCTGATCCCTCTGCAGGCTTCTTCCTGTCACTCCCCTCCCCCTCCCACGAATGCTCATTTGCTTTTCAGCTACCATAAGTAGCACCAGGCTCCATTCCTGACCACACACCTGGCATCTCTCTCTCTTTTTTTTTTTTTTTTTTTTTTGCTTGCAGCATGCCACTGGCATGTCAGAGTTCATTCTTGTGTGGTTTGTCTGTGACAGGCACTTAGGTTCATATCTGTGTTCAGGTGGAGGCTTGCTCTTCCTGCTTCTAATATTTTTCTTTTCTGAATGCATGAAACATTTATAATGCTCAGAAATTCTAGCTGTAAAAAGGAATGCTCAAAAAGGGGTCGCTCCTGTCCCTGCTCCTATTCATCCCTCACAAATCACCTCTTTACCCCCACAGGTAGCCATTTCTATTAGTTTCTGGTTTATCTTGCCTGCCTCTTCTTTGAGAAAAATACAGCTACTATCTCTCCATGCATCTTGCACAAAAGGTGCCACACAATCTTCTGCACTGCACTTGAAAAGCACACGTTGTGAAATCTCATCTCTTCTACTGTCTTCGCTTTCCGCCATCAGCAGGGCAAGGGAGGATGTGTTAATAAAAATGTACTATCAGAACCATTTATTAACAAGCTGAACCTGGGTCCTTTGGACACCAGGTCTTGGGACTTCTGGAGAAGATGAGGGGCTGAGCCAGTCCCTGAATTAGCCTCCAAGCTCGAGGCAGCAATAACCCTCATGTCTCAGGAACTAAATTCCTATTTACCTCTGAACACCAGCACAATTATTTTTGTAGTTGCAAAAGTTTTCGAGGGCATATTGAAGGCCTAGAGCCTTGGGACTGGGGAGGCTGCAGGAAGGAAGGAAGGAGGGAAATGATTAACAGCCACTACAGTCCCACATTCCCTTAAGCAAACTCAACCTGTGAACATGGAGACTTACAGAAAAGCAAAATGGGGGTGAATGTTTATTCTGATCAAATCTTGTCCTGAGGAAAAACCTTCCCCGGCAGGATCCTGTTAGAAGGTGGATTTCTCCAGTGTATGGAAATGAGTCATTTCAACCTGCGTCATATTTACTTTCCAAACACCCCGTGTTTATTACACATTTATCTGTGCTATCCGACGCAGACCCTTCAAAAAGAATCATAAATCTGTTGCTGAGGATTTGGGCAACTGAGTGGTGTGAGGGGAGGGTGGGGGAGGCAGAGAGCTAACCTGAAATTCTTTGTTGTTGTCTGGAGCAGTGAGCAATGAGAAGCAAATTCAGTATTTTCTTCTCCCTAAATCTGGAAGGTCCCTTATTTCAGGCTGGTCCAAAGTTATGGATGGAAAATTCTGGGTCTTTATTTAAGGCTGGTTCATAGTTATGGAATAAACATTCTGGAAGGTCCCTCATTTTAGAATGATTCAGTTATAAATGTTAAGTTTTGGAAGGTCCCTATTTCAGGCTGGTTCATAGGTATGGATGGCAAGTTCTAGAAGGTCTCTTAAGTCAGGCTGGTTTGGTTATGGATGGAGCTTACTGAAATGCCTTACATTATTATAGTGCAGGTGAAATGCTGGGTCTCGGCCACTTATAAAACTTGAGCAACACTCTAGCCCAAGCACAGAAAAAGGCATTCTACCCAGACTCGTGGCTTTTCCAACATAATACAGTAACACTTAAAACATTACCCACGAGAACCCTAAAGGGACATTTTGAGGCCTTTTTCTTCACATGCCAGGTACACTCGGCAAATGTGTGCTGTAAGGTTCCACTTTTAAACCAGTTATTTATTACATTAAATGCGGCAGCATGCGAAACTCGTTGCGCCGGATCTTCAAATGAGCGGCTGCTTTCCACTTTCCAGGGCTCTCACTCAGGGTTATAGAAAAGGAGGGGCCGGTACTGTGGCCCACACTCCTCCGGGTAGCTTCTAGAAATCTTAGGGGAAGGCAAGATAAGGTCAGTGACCAGCTGGGGACTCAGGAAGTCTGGATCCTAGCTCTGCTGGTTTGTCTGAACGATGAGCTGGGGGGCTTGGGCAGCTCAGAGTTGTGCAAACAGAAAACATATGCCTCCATAAGGCAGACATGAGGGCTGGAGCTCTGTGTAAATCTAATTATTAGCATGAACCAAAGGTACTGCCACTGTTTAACTCATCCGACCTTTTAAATGGATAACCAACCTTGAGGCTTAATTGGATTTAAAAAAAAAAAAATCAATTTCTAGCCATCACATAGTGTTGAAACAAAGTACCACATTCTCAGGCAATTGTAAAATCTGGTCTGGTCTGCCCAAGACTATTTTTTATTATTTGCAACTTTAGAATGCTATTGCCCATCTCTATGAGCACTTCCTGCACACACACACACCTCCTGTAAACAAGTGCAAGCTCACATGTGCGTACACTGGGCACGTCATCACACAATCGGTCTCCTGTTCAGCGGGCGGCAGGCTGATTCATCAGCCGCAATCTCTTCGCACCAATTACACAGAGCTGAACTGGGGATAATGGCTCACCACTGTCTGCAAATCTCTCTTAGCTGCAGCCTGGCATCATCTTTGTAATAAGAAAAAACCAAAAAAACAAAAAGAAAAAAAAAACCCTGGAGGAAGCTTTTTACCAAATCCCATCCTGACCATTAAATCTTTCTTGAAGAAGGTCATTTAATTTTATGGAAAGAAATGAACAATTAAAACGGAATAAGCAGAAAGGCATGCTGGCCTAGAAATTAGGAAGCTGACAGACAATCCCAGTGCTGAGGTACACCGGCCTTGTGATCATGTCACATCCAGGCATGGGTCTCAGTTTCCCCATTTGGAAAAGGGACAGGCTCAGTGCGGGAGGGTGTTCTTTGTCCCCCATAGATGACAAAAACAGAGGTCTGATACGAAGTTAAAAAAGCAAGCATTTGATCCCCTCGGCACTTCCTGGGAAAATGAGACCAAATGATACAAACAGGGCCCTTGGCTTCTATCACATCTGTAAATGAGAAACAGTGATTACTAATGGTGGAATTTGGATGATTAGCTTAAAGCAATTATAGAATTATAGTTGACAAACAGAAAATGCTAAGCCCAGTGGTCTGCTTCAACGAACCCTGGTTTGAATGTGCACCATCAAATGGAGCTTTGTTTAAATAGCCCGTTTTTGGCAGATTGTAGGATGAAAGTGGAGGGCCGCACAATTATCTCAGCGTTCAGGACAGTCCAGGGAGCTCATTTGCACAATTGGACAAATGATTATTTTCTTTTGCCTCAATTGGCCAGATAATTGTGCACGAGCCTCTGCCATTTGGCTCTGTGGAATGTCCCTTGATGTGGTAAGGAAACCCAGCATAGCCGGGTTTAGCCTGTCTGGGGGTGGTATGGAGTTGGGGACAAGATGCACACAGCTGGCGTCCCCCAGTCTAATTCTGAGCCCCAGATAGGAAGCACTTCTACATAAGCTGTCTACATGTCTACCAGTGCCCTCATTAGCTTGTTCTGACACCCATCAGCTTGCGGGGCCTGTTTTCCTTCAGTTTCAAAACAACTAAACAAAAACATCAGACACAAGGTTAAAGGTACTGTGTGGGTGGCCAAAAGAATTCAGAGAACACCCAGGTTTCAAAGGGCCAACACACACACAAGAACCCAATGGAGAGCCACACTTACAGGAACTGAGCAGAGCCAAGCTCCCAAGCACACATCAGATGGGCCAGAGCTGTCTCCTTAGAAGAAATTAATCCTACTGTGTAACCACAGAGGCCCCCCTCCTCCCCAATGGTGGCCTACCATGAGAACGTTCCTCCTCGTGGTCCCTGTGTGGCTGACCGGCAAGGCAAGGATGCTCACAGCTGGCATGTTCTTTGCTTTGGCATTCACAGGCATCTTTGGGTAAATGGGTAGGTTGGCTATTACCTCTTGACGGCAGACAGATGCTCTCACTTCATATACGATGTTCACCACAATCAGCAGAACTGACTTCACATAAAGCTTGACCTTCGACCGTCAAGACGCCACTGCTTACCAACCCTGAGCCTAAGTCTCAGAGCAGTCTACTTAATGGCAGTGTCCAACTGTGTGTGCACGCTCTTGTGTGACCATTCTAAGTCCAGATCGATCATCAAGGGCTCCGTAGCAAAGACGACTATGCTTCCATTCCAGAACCACCCACAGCCCTGAATGGTAGCATTTGTGTGCCTGTGATCCCAGCCCTTGGGAGACAGAGACAGGGTCCAAGTTGAAGGGCAACCTGCGCTACCCAGGCCCTGTCTTAAAAAAAAAAAACACACCCTCCCCTTATATCTATCAGTCCATACATTCACCGGCCTTCCCACCTCAGGCCACGTCAGGGTGCACTGGACTCAACTCTGTAGCCTTATGGAAGATGGCTGTCCTTTGAGAGTGAGTGACTTCTGGGCTGGCCAATGGTTGATGAGAAGGAAGGGACCACACGGCAGAATTTGCGGCTCAACAGGCTCTCTAGGGGGCACTCAAGACTGTCCCCCAGGGCAGCCACCGACTCTGGCCCTCCATTGTGTGGAAGGCTACCTCTCTTCTCTCCCAGGTATGCATGGAAATGAGCATCAACATTCTGCTCTGGCCTTGAAGACCTGGCATTGCCAGCAAACCCTGTCCCTCACGATTGTCACACCACACTGCAAGGAGGCATTGGCCAACGCTAAGTCCTGGGGCCTGAACATGCAAACCACTTTGGGCACAATGTCAAGATGGCCAAACACGCTCACATAAAGTGTGTTTTCATAAAGAAAAATAATTATCGGCCTTTTATGTGGCTTCTCTTTTTGTATACTGGATAGCAAATTGATTGGTCCCTTTGCGGGCTTCCATTAGATAGACAAATTGACTTCTAGACACTGAGGCAGAGGCCTCAGGCACAAAATAAATAGCCATGGCCCCAAAGATCCCCGACGTGGCCAGACCCTCTGCTAACACAAACACATTTGAACAAAATATGACCCCCCCCATCATTAAAATTAATACTAGGAATGCGGGATGCTTTTCAATCTGTGAGATTGCTTTATTGTACAAAAAGTTTCCAGTAACAGTAAATTAGTTAGGACAAAAAAAAAAAAAAAAAAAAAAAAAAAAAGTCATTTTGGATAGAAGTGCTTCACTAATTGCTTTATTTAAGCACACAAGGAAAAAAGTCTTATCTGGCCAATTAGGTTGGCGGGTTTTATTACCTTTAAGAAGCCATTAGCTGGGATGAAACCCTGCAAGCACTTGTGTCAAAACAAATAAATAATGCTCTCTCAATTAGCAGAGAAAGCGGTACATCCGTTAAATTAGACACACACTGCTTCACACAGTGGCCCAGCCAGCATCCAAATGCCCCCCAACAGACAGACAGACAGACAGACAGATAGACAGACAGACAGCCGTTCTCTCAGGGGCCCCAAAGGACAGACACTTCTCTCTTTCCACCCCACTCTACAGGAGTCGTCCAGTGGAAAAAAGTGGTATCCCCAGGGCACTTCCTAGGCACAGGGACAGATTTGATTGTCACCTCCGTGGCCAGACTGAAGGGCAGGATGGGCCCACAGGCAGAACTTGTCGCTACCAGGACGTCGAGACTAACTTCTCTGGTATCCTCATGAGCTTCTGGTCTTCTCCCCCAGGACAGGCTCAAAGAGCTGGTGCACAAGGCTCTGCACCCATCAGGGTGGCTACGCCCAGACCAGAACCACGCTGTCTACAGACAGAAGGGGACAGGGAAGAGGTTCCCACAGGTCCTTGGGACAATTCCTAACCAGATCTGTTAGGTTACCCAGAGAGGTTAGGGGGGAAACTAATCCCCCTCCCCAAACAAAAACAAAACAAAACAAAACAAACAAACAAGCAAACAAACAAAAACCCATTCAGGGAAATAAATACAAATACACGGTGACCTTTCTTAAAAGGTCGCTTTTCTTCCAGGCCCTCACAGTCACTGAGCGTGGCCTTCACAGATTGCTTAAAGCAGGTGCCCTGATTTGACAGTCCACCCTCAGAAGTCAGGAGAGGAGGCCTGTGGGACCCCCTCTTCCCAATTCTGAAGTGATGGGTTCCAACCATCCCTACTAATGTCACTGAAAGAGTCTGGCAAACCTTTGGTCCCCAATACCCCACAGTCTGGGTAGGGAGGCTGAGTGCAGGGTAGATCTGCACAAGCTGGAGTTTTGAGTCACCCTTCAGTGAAATCTATATAGGCAAACATTTGCATAAATACAAATAAAACGGTACACACTCAACAGAGCCACACTCTTAAATAATTGAAGAGAAGCAGAGACAATTTTAAAAAGCCATCATAATCACGCAAAGAACACTAAAGTTACAGCAGTGTCAATGAAGACAGGGCAAACAAGACACTCACACCCTTGTCTTCAAAACCCCATCACCGCCCGCATCACTTTAGCTCTGCAGAGCACCCAGCACCATGGTTAGCAAGTAGGTAAACAGAGCCTGCCTTTGGCGATCTGATATGCGTGCACACACATAGAGCACACATATCTACACACAGCACACTAGAGTGCGTGCACACACACACACACACACACACACACACACACACACACACACACACACAGAGGACAGCCCTAGTTGAGGTTCTCACTGTCCTCAGGAATATACCCGCTTTCTGGGCATTGCTAAGTGTCAACGGAAGAGTCGATAAATCAAATCATGGGTAGAATATTTTACTTTAAAATGGAGTGATGTTTGGTTAATAATTCGAGATCCACTAATTCTAAATGGGGTGACCCATTTAAAATGGCCTCTGTGTAAATTTACAGCTCATCAAATGGAGTCAGGTTTGGACAGGTCATTATGTAGCTAGAATGTAAGTAATAGACTGAGTGGGGATGGCTAGGGACACACCGGCTTAGTTCAGTTTGTGACACTGTCAGGCTTTCCTGTACTGAGGTTCAAACAACCAAATTCTGATTTAGGAGGTTTTACTTAGTAACCCTCTTGGTTTACAGTAGAAAATGCAGTGCAAGATTCTGAATGAGGAATATGCTACTTACAATTGATTTAAAAGCATGAAGCTGGTTTAACTGGCCCGTCTAAATGTGTTAATTAACATCAATGATGGTTTCTTATTTTTCACACTTTGTTACTCTGATCGTTAACAGTGATGGAAAAGCTAAATTAAGTTAATGGGGAACGGATTATAAATTCTTGAAGGACTTCTTAGTTTGTTTTCAGCTGGGAAGATGAAGAGGCATATTGAGCCTCTACTCATAAATTTTTGGTACCAAACTTCTTAAAAACCAGATAATTGAAAAAAATTTCCTAGAAATTATTTAACATGCTGCTCAGACATGAGTGCTAAAAACAAGTGCATGCATATCACATTGGTGCCTCAGTAACGCCTGCACACCTTCACTCACTCCACTTTCTAGAAAGCATGTTTACATGACAGCTGGTCAAGGGCCAGTCTCCTCAGCAAGAGCTTCACATCCTTAAACTCTGGACAGAGATGGAAACTCATGGCTGAGCCTGCATTCCAGTCCACCAGAGGGGCCGAGCACAGGAAGGTCCACTGCCCACTGTTGGGCCAGCGGGCCATGCTCTGTAGGGAGTACAGTGGTGTGGCGCCAGCCACGCCCTCACACTCAAGGAGCCCATGCAGTAGCGCTCTCCAGAACGTGGAGTCACTAGCGAGACTTTACGCCGATGAGGACCACAATGAGGACTACGATGATGACAACCAGTACCAAGATCACAAGCATCTTCCGGTTCTTCTTTTGGTACTGCTCTGCCTACAAAAGAGGAGGGAAGGTATCATTTCCCCACAGCCTCACACAAGCCTTGGTTCTGTAGGATGGTCTTACATACGCACTACAGGACGAGCCTCGCGGTTAGACCCTCCCTTAGTGCAAACCAACAAGACCCTGATCCGCGTGTGGATACTGTGAGGACAGAGGCCAAGAAACACCAACTTCACATCCGTCTGCTCCTTCCTATACTGGCTTCTCAGAAAGGTCCCCGCGCCCAGGACAGATGTCCATTGTCCTTCTCCCTTGTACAGAAAAGGGTGACCAGAAAGCACGGAACCACTGCCCCCAGAGGCCCTGTCTCTACTTCTTCTGAACCTGGAAACAGAACACCTCACTGAGGAAGAAATGGTCAATGTAGCCATCTGCGTTGGCTTAAGAGCCACCTGAGCAAGCGCAGCCTTGCCTCAGGACCGATGGCTCACAAAAGAGCTCCTGAATGCCCTTCTGCACACCGTGTCCTACATGCAGCACCCAGAAGCACCGGGGCCCCCACATGTGTAGTGGGGACAGAACACTAATATCCCTCACGTGGCTGGTGACTGACACAGACTCCCAAAGGAGAGCATGCGCAGAGATTGCTGAGATGGCTGGCTTCTCATCCTCACTCAGAAACAGCGGGAGCCAATGGAAGCAACTCCCAAGTCTCAGCTGCCTTTCCAGAGTGGGCTAAGGACAGCACCATTCCTCAGAGAACCCAAGAGCCAAGGAGAACACACACTGGGAAAACCCCCCGACTGCAGTGCGCTAGGCCGAACTTGGTGCGGATACCAGATCAGCATAGCGCACTACAGCCCAGAACTCCTGGACACAAGCGATCCTCCTGCCTCAGCCTCCCGAGCAGCCACAGCCTGTGTCAGGCCCAGTCTCTTCCATATGTCTACATCACAACACAAAGCACATTTCCTAGTCATGGCCTAGGATATTCCAGGGCTGACAGATAATTTAGCAAGCAGCACCTCAAACCTGTGACAATAAGAAGCTCAGGGACGCCTCTGTTATTCTGAACACCTACTAAGCAAGACTTGTCCCCAGCCTGTGAGGTAGCAAGCAGTACATGGATGGCCAAGGGCTTCTGGTCAGCCCGTGCAACCTGGTGCCATGAGGGCCAGGAGATGGAGGGATTTCTGCTTTCAAAAGAAGGAGGAGGACTTGGGAAATGTCCAGGAGCCCCGACGGGTATCAGAGACAAGGAAGTAGCCTTGACTTCATCTGTTAGGTAGAGCTGGCTGCGCATGTGCCAAACCACACTTATGACCTGGGGGGGTTCATGAGCCCATTTCTCATCACTGATTATAAGATTTCTAAAATGATTTCCACTAGCTTCTTAAAAAAAGACACTTAACAAGTATGCAAGCCCCAGGAAAGATCTCTCATCAGCAAGGGCACAACCCGCCTCACTCCTACAAACTTCTCTAGAGGTGACACAGTAAGGGACAATTAGATTTGTATCCTTGTTGGCTGTCCTCCACCAGCAAGTTGTCAGAAGTGAACCCCAACGCCCCGAGTTAGCAGCAACAAGAGATGACCTCCCAGCCCATACCAAGAGAGTACAATCAACCGACTTCTCTAACAAACTTGGAAAGATGAGAAGCAGACAAAGAAAACCGCAGGCCCACAGGACCATCCCAGCCTCACAGGAGCATCCCAGCCTCTTGGGTTGCGGATGGGTTATAGAAGAGAACCTCCTAGGAATTCCCAAGATTTGATAACAGTTCCCGAGGGCCCAGCACAGAGATCATCGGTACCTTGTGAAGCTGCTTCAAGCCATCTTCGGTCTTGACACAGGACTGTTCAACATTATAGTCAATTCTGTCAAGGACTGTCCCCTAAGCATTAAGAGACAGTACACAGTCAATGATTACAGCTAGGGAGACTGAGCTTCCAACCCTGAGACATGCATGTCACAGGCCTCGGGGCTCCCTCCACAGCAGTGTCAGAGCCCCGAGCAGTGCTAGGGACGCTGCAGCATGGACTGACATGGGTCTGTTTTTTATTCACTTCCGTAGATATGCTACCTTCTGATGTGCTGGGAAGCAAAGAGCCACGGCTTTCCACCTTTTGCTGTTTAAATACTGGGATCTGGCAGATGGAGAGTATCAGCTAGGATCTACACCACTGCCAGGCTGCTCCGATCATGGTCTAAAGTGACAGCTTGGTTCTTAAGGACAGGTCATTAAACAGCCTCTTGGTTCACACAAGAAGCCTGGAGAAAAGATGGCGATTCACTGGGAAAGACAGCAGTTAAGCAGCCAGCTCTTGGTGCCTCAACACTCTATTTTATAGTTGGTTTCAGGGGACCAGGACCCAAACAAATCCCTGCTGGCAAGATAATAAAATGCCCTAATCAGATTGTAACAATGAACAACCATTTAACTCTACTTAAAAGCCGGTGGTTCCAATAGCCATTACACAACAATCTGCCACTGTCAGGAGGGAATCTTGTACAATGGCAGAATTAGGCCAGCCTTGGTCAGACTCCATCAGGCCTCTACAGAAAGCATGCCCATGAACATCTCTGGGGCAGAGCAGAAGACGTTACAATTTCTATTACTTTTTAATTCCAGACTAAAGAACAATCAGTATTTTCACAGTCGCCCACAGTACCTGCAAACACATGTGATGTGAGCAACACATGTTTAGGTGTTTTCCCAACTGAAGCACAGGAGGGAAGGACCACAGGGAAGGGTGGGAGAGACACGCCACAGGACACACACCTGCTCCACAATCATTGCTCCCAAGTCCCTGAAGATCTCACTGAGGTCAGAAATGGACTGCACAATCTGACGGATCTCTCGCTCCCTCTCCTCCACCATCAGGGTGTTCTGCTCCACCAGAACCAGTTGGTCATCCGTGAAACCCTGTCCAAGTGAGAGTCTCCCTATTAGGAAAGCTGTGGCAGGCCATTTCAGACAATGTTTAGGGAAAACAAATTCTGAAAATATATTTCTAAAGCACTTGGGAACAGGTAACAGATGTCCTTGACAGGGAGCAAAGGTTCCAACCCCCAAACAGCATGGGATGTAACATAGTAGTTGACGTGGGGCATGGGGGATGGCTTTGTGCGTCTCAGGTTCTGGGAAACACACTGTACCCCACCCCACCCCACCCCACGACACCTGGGAGGGAGGACAGCATGGCTTCTGCCTGTGACAGGGACTACTCAATAGACACAAGACAACAGCCCCAGGCCCCTCAACTGCAGTGGAGCAAGGAGCTAAGGAAAAGAGGAGGCGGACGTGGGTCTCATCACATACCTGATCATACACAGCAGCAGCATCTCCATCATCCATTAGTGGCACTGATGTGTCGAAGAAATGCTGTGACCTTTCCTCTCGGTTCTTCATGCCTACCAGACAGCATCCCACTTTACTTGAGTGCGTGTGGCTACCGTTCCACCATTAAAAAGATAAACTAGAGTAAAACCCAACAGCAAGGGGAAGCCCCCTAGACAGGTCTGAAGAAGCCCACCTATGGGGGGGGGGGAGGGCGCTTGTGGTAATGCACTGCAAAGGACTGCAAGTATTCAGGGTTCTCGGGACAGTCAACTCTCTAAGTGCTCAGCTCAATGGGCGCCAAGACAGACAGGACACAGCCACCTGAGACTCTAAGCGACAGTTATTCTAACTGCTCTGAAGACACGCGAACACAGAGCCAGTCTTCTCCCCTGGGGCATCTCCTGTAAGCACTCTGGTCAGATTCTAGGGGAACAAAGTTACAACAGATATGCAGGTTGGAGGGGAGCAGGGTCTCAGGAGGAAGTGGGGTTTATCCATTACAACGACAATACAGGAAAAACCAGCAATAGCTGAGCTGGCGCAAGACCATTTACACCCTCCGCTCAAGCCCCAAGGGCCATGCAGATGGCACTGTGAGGGACTGGCTCTACACGTGTGCCATCAGAACTCCAAAGCCCAAGCTCACATCACAAGCCTTCTTTTCTAGAACTGCTGTGACTTTCAAAGTCTGTGGCCAGCCAGGGCTGGATGCGACTCACCTGGACAAGAACTGTCCATACCACTGCACCAGAGAGACCTTCCCTCCTCAGTGAGGACTCCCAGGGAGCAGCTTCCTCTTGTTTAAAAAGTGTGAATGTGCCTAACTAGCTGTTAACAATGAAAGGCAAGGGCTGGATGGAGAAAGGGCCCAAAGGATGACAGAACACAGTGTTTCTTACTCGACAGTTCCTCAGCCAATGCCGGCCAACGCCGGCAGCACTCACGTTTCAAGTAGCCGGACTGGGCGTGCCGGAAGCTGGTGGACAGCTCCTGCAGGGCCTGGGCCAGTGATGCCACCACGTTCCGCAGTAGCCGCTCTTCCTGCTTGGAGCAGGCCCTTCGTGCACGGCTGGGCAGGGCCTGCACAGCACGCTGGCATCTATGAAAGAGCTGAGAGAATAGCTCTGGCTTGCATCAAGAAGCCTCCCTTAGCCAAGGCCTCTGCCAGGAGGTCCCCTGCTCTGCAGGCTGCTATGAAAGGTTGGGCTGGACAGGTGTAAGTGTGTGGGGTAGCTAGAGGTTTCATGTACACACATGTAGGCCTAACTAGACTTCACCTTGTTTGTACAATGTCTACGGTGTGCCCCGATCTACTCACTTCACATCCTGTTACTCACTGCACATGCCTGACTACTCCTTGGCTTCTACAGCAGCAGCACGAGGCAGGTACCAGTGTGGTTTTTATGTCCACTTCACAGACTGGAGTGATGGGAGATGTCATTCTGTAAATATGTTTCTCTTATTGGTTAATGAATAAAGCGCTGTTGGCCAATAGGAAAGCAAGATAGGCGGGACTAGGAGACAAGGAGGATCCCGGAAGAGTAGGGAGGAGATCCAATATGGTGGACTGAGAGAGAACAATGCCAGCCCCTCTCTCCGGTAAGATAAGACCACGTGGAAATACTTAGATTAATAGAAATGGGTTAATATTTAAGACAGCACTAGCTAGTAAGAAATGATAGTAACAGGCCAACAGAATTATATCTAATACAGCATCTCTGTGTGTTATTTGGGGCTGGCGTGGCTGAGGGACCGGGCCCACAGAAAAAACTACTCCAAACATGGCAGGGCTGAGTCAGAGAGTGAGGGAAAAGCATTTCACAGTGACTCAGCTACAGAGCAGGCGTCAGACATCTGGATGTCTCTTCTCAAAGAAGGAGACATGAACACACACAACAGTCACACCGCCTAAAGGTTAAACAGTGTTTCCAATAAAATCCCCAAGATGTCTTCTTACAGCACTGTGTTTTACATAAAATTGCAAGTCCTGGTGTGTGACAGCAATTACACATTTTAGCATCAAATGATCAAGCGCATTACCATGCTGAATCTACTCTCTACCAACAACTGAAGAATAGTGCCCATGCCACCAAGAAAGCCACACACACATGCTGGCAACTCATAGACCTTGGGCTTTTCCAAGTCCCCATGAGGGTTTCAGGCTGGAAAATAAAACTCCAGGGTGTCACCTGCTGGGTTTGGAAGAGGGGCTGGGAGGGAGGCACTGGAAGCTGCTGTCCAAAGGCCCGGCTTGTGCCCTCACCTGGGTGATCTCTTGGGTGGTTATCTCGATGGCATGCTCTTCCTCACTGCTGTCATCCAGGGTGGGTCTGTTCAAATGCTTGTCATGGAGGCTGGCTAACTCCTTCATCTTCTGTTTAATGCGGCCAACATCATACTGTACCTACATAAGCGACGCCACGAGAGAGATTCCCATTCATGCCTGGCAGGTTCCCTCCTACACCCAACATGATTAGTTACCCCCGGCTCTGCCTTTAGTTGAGTCTGGCAGCTCACTGACACACAAGCAACTTTTTAAATTCAAGTTAGAAAAAAAAAAAAAGAAAAAGAAAAGAAAAAGAAAAAATGCTGAAAATGCTGAAGAGAGCCTCAGTGGTTAAGAACACTTGTTGCTATGGGAGAAGACTGGGTTCAGTTCCCAGCACCCACAGGGTGGCTTACAATTATCTGTTTAACTCCAGTTCCAGGGGATCCAATGCCCTTTCATGATCTGCACAGGCATACACCACCTGGTACACTGATATACATGCAGTCAAAACACTAATAACACATAAAATAAAATACTCCACGTGGTGGTGTCACATGACTTTAATACCAGCACTCAGGAGAAGCAAGTAGATCTCTGAGTTCAAGGCCAACATGGTCTACAGAGTACGTTCTAGGGCACCGAGGGACACAGAGAGAAACCTTGCCTCAAAAAACAAAGCCAATAAACAAACAAACAAACAAATAAATAAATCTACTACAAACAAGCACACTCTTCCTTATTCCATGGCTTTTCATTTCTTCCTTTAATTCAAGAAGTTGCTGTGAAGTTAAGTCCAAATCATCTAGACAGACAAACAGGCACACTCTACTTTATTATGTGGTATGTAAATGAATAAATAAATTCAAAGTGTGAGTATGTCTGAGGATAAACTTCAGCTGGAACCAAACTGACTCATATGGCAGATATTTTAAGCCATGCTGTCATCCAAACTTAAGAAACAAACGAAACAAAGCACGTAGGAACTATCATTGAACTCACCTCATCTACTCCGTCCACCCATTTTGGAGGTGAGCACTTTGTCACACCAATTGCTGCTTCTGGATCTAGGCTGATGCCTGACACCAGCGCCATTCGGTCATCAGCAAGCTACAGGGATAACGGGCATTGAGAGGTGATGAGAGAGAGGTCAGTGTGGATGGACATGGACCCCTACTGTCCCTGAGCAGCCTGCAGAGGCAGGGGAAATGGCTGCCTGTGTGACACCCGGGTCTGAACCCCACTCCTCCACTCCAATCTTTCCATGCACCAGGTCTTAACTTCTTTGGACACTCTGTGGACAAGCCTTTGATGACTCAGAGACCCAGATCCTTAAGGAAAGGCCTCTCAGCAACAGCCCTGAGCCAGGGCAGAATGAAGCAGGTGAGGGTGGGTGGGCAGGGCTGGAAATGTAACTGGGCCCAAGTGTGACGGCAGCTGCTGACATCAAGTTGGGACAGTTACCTTAGTCACAAGACCATGCACTGCATGTTAGCATATGTCTAAGAGCTGCTCAGAAGGGTTAAGTAGACTGCTCGAGGACCACGGCCATCCTCCAGTCTCAACACCAGCCATTTCCTTGTTTCCACTGCATGTGCAATGGCAACACTTCCCTTACTTTGAAATGACAGAGAGTTTTTGTTTTTTGAATCTGAAATTCCAGTGAGTGGGAGGGAAATCACAGACTGCCTAGTTATTTATTTATTTTGCCTGGAGGCAATGGATGGATTTGAAAGGATCAAGAGGTCCTCCAAAGCATAGAATTGTAAATGCTGATTCAAAGGCCTGAGTGATAACCAAGCCAGTGGTCAACAGGCGCCCACACACGCAGCACTGTCGCCTGGGGTCCACTGCAGCATTGGGTCAGCAACGGCTACCACCTTCCTTCCTTGCAGACCTGCACACTTATTTTCCATGCATCGAACAAATTCCTATGTGCTTACTTAGCAACAAAGAAGCGAATCTAAAATTCTGACAAATGAATGGAAAACTCTCTCTCACACACACACACCCTTAAAATCTCTCCATGGAACAGGCCTATAGCCCCTAAGAATGAGCAATGAGCTCACACTCTGACTCCAACTGTGGGCTTCAGCACAACACATACTTCCAGTAGCCTGGCCTCCACCTGCCCCAGTGTCCACCAAGGGCCATGATGATGGAAATGGACCCAGGGCCTGGGGGGTTGTGACCACATCCACCATTGTTCACACCACCACTGTGGGCCCAAGTAACATCTACGCCTGATCTAATGGTATGTCCTTCATGTAACAAGCTGCTGACCGCAGGTCCTGGCGGTTCTCGGCCACGCTAACCCTTCACTAATGGGAAGTCTTTGTGTTTATTATTTTAATCCTCACAAAAACTAGGTGAGCTGAGAAACGTTATTTCAATCATAAATACAGAACTGAAACTCAGAAGAGTTAAGAAGCCTGCCTTAAGGCACCATGCTAATGGTAATGTGGAAGACTAAAACCGGCTGACTCCAGAATCTGCCACCCACCCCATGAGCTCACTCTCAACAACCATGTAATGTAACTGCAGTCCACTAAGGAAATCGCCCAGGACAATGGGCTGCTAAACTGAGACAAAGAAGGAGATCTGGGCTTCGCATCTCCCTGCAGCATCTACCCAGGGGCTGGAGAAGGTTCCAGCACTCAAGTGCCAGTATGATCAGACTTGTCTTGCTGCCCACTCCACAGTCACCACGGCCCCTGCTCACCACTCAGCTCTGGCCTGCTGTGTTTTAGCAGATCCCACAAGGTTCACTGCTACAGGGTGGGACCTGAACTCAACCCCAGGGCACCACACAAAGCACACCTTTAAACTGCCACAGTGCCTGAGCAACGAGCCGGACGGCTTAGTCTGCATCGTTCCCACATACGTTTCAACAGAGAAAGTACTGACTTGTGAACAAAGCAAGCAGAGCTGTTTTCACTGTTTACAGACGCATCTGAGAGATGTTATCTTTAAATTCACCCGATGCTCACTAGCATCATTTCATGTAAGGTCACAAACCACGTATGGACACAGCTGAAGTGGACTGCACTGCCTTAAGCACCTCTCTCTTATAAGAGAGGTGTCCCCATTCCACGTACATCAAGATTCCAGTCAGAAGACTCTCTCACGGGTCCTAGGGAAGCCGACAAACTAAGAGACTTCAGGAGGGATGGACGCCAGCCTGCACAGGCACTGTGGCTTTCCTACGCTGCACCAGGACTGGGGGCTTGCATGTGGCCAATTATCTGTTGCTGATAGAGTCTATGGGCATAGCTCACGGTGACAGAAACCCTGTCCTGCTGAGAAGAAACATTCCATGTCTCTTATCAGTACACGTTTACAATGTGTATCACAGTGTGTACTCCTGAAAAGGAACATGTGTTTTGAGAAAGGAAAACAATTGAAGATAACGTCAACTACTTGAAATGGGAACAAACAGGAACATGAAAATGTATCTTACGGGCAAAATAAATAATCACCCTTTCAATTTCCTGAACCTCCCTCCCCTTACCAACATGGCAGTGTGCTGTGCTGAACACACATTAATCTCCAGGAGGCTGTCCTCCCCACAGACCTCAATAGCCACGCTTCTCTCCATCTATCCTTGCCTAATTTCAGCTCTCCGTACTCCCAAAACCTGACATGAGTTAAGGTTTTTCTTAAATAAACTTGTATTTCTGAGGATAAAAATAAATAAATAAAATCTTTCTATGTATTTTCAAGTAAGAAAAAATGTTATATAAGCTGCAGAGTCAAGAATTAATTTAAGAATGAAGTCTTTCATCTTTGACTGTCCTCCAAGAACCACAGAGGACATGGCCCTACCTCAAAGGCCTGTTCTTGTGCTGAATGCAGAAAGCCTGGGCCGTGCTCACAGCTCTGTCCGTCACCCTGACTCCACTGCAGACAGACCCCTGACCTATGGAAGAAGCACACATGCACCTGCCTTATTCTCTACATCACAGCATCTCACTGCATGTGCAGACCAACGCAGTGAGATCAAGGGACAACACAGAGATCTACGCCAAGTCCACAGGAGAACAAGGGCAGCTCTCAAAGCAGCCGACTACATGGGCACTCAACACTCAAGAGTCACAGCCTGGCAACTCGAGCTATCTGGAAGTCAAAGACCAAAGACACACACACACACACACACACACACACACACACACACACACGGCCTAAGAAACCCCCAGGCTCAAGGAGGCGTGAACACGCGAGTGGGTAGAAGAATTAGAGCTCACAACCAAGTTATTTTTTTTAACTTTAATTTTAATTTCTTATTTTTTATTTTTCCAGACAGGGTTTCTCTGTGTAACAGCTCTGGCTGTCCTGGAACTTGCTTTGTAGACCAGGCTGGCCTCAAACTCACAGAGATCCACATGCCTCTGCCTCCTGAGAGCTGGGATTCAAGGAGTATACCACCACCATCCGGATCAATAGAATTATCTTAATCTGAGGTTAAAAATAACTGAAAATACTTTCTGAATGGCATCACAACAGACAACACAGCCTTGGAAATCTTATGCACAGTCTTGATAATCTTGCTAATTCACTGACTCTCCTTCCTCAATATGCACGAGCTAAAAACCAAAGAAACCTCAATATACACGAGCTTGCCCATCGCCACAGCACCAAGCATGCTTGCATGTTGCATGCACTGAAGAGACGATCCGTCCCCAGGGCATGCTGCTAACTTCAGTGGATGCTGAAATCTGTGGGCCTGGTCACCTGCTCAAGGCCACAGGGCTAGCTCACAGGCCTAGGTAGTTTGGGATCCTGAAATCTATACCTTATAATTTTGAGTAGTTCCTATCTTATGTAAGATTATCTGTCTAAGGCAGAAAATGCAAAGACCAGGCACAGAAGACAGAGGACAGAATAGATGCTGTCCTGGCCAACACTGTGGATGGAAAATGGCCTCCAACTTGGCCAAAACTCTTCTGCATATTTCCTGAGCAGAGTGAAGAGGTATCTCCAGTCCCTCAGTCTGAGCAGGAGAGTGGCTAACGTGTATGCCTGCAGGGCTACCTACCTGTAGGGAGCAGGGCTCTCACATCATGGCTCCATGCCAGGGTGCCCAAGTGGCAGATGTTTACTACTCCCAGAAGACACTACCTTGAAGCCCGACCTCCCTTAGTAAATCAAGCCTCTGGACACCTTTCCCAACAGCATGCCCAGCTCCTCACTCAGCACCTGGCACTTCACAGGAACGAACACACAATTATAATTAGCTGAGTGAGTCAACAGTAAATGGGTGGAATGAATGGATGAGGTAAATAAAGTATGTCGCACATAATTCTGGAAGCTACACTTCATGAAAAACATAACGGCGCTGGAGCAAGGAGGAAAGTGAAGCGTGCAGAGCCAAGAACACAAATGCAGGCTGCTGCTCAGCACACCGCACTTCCGCCAGCGCCATGCTCACAGGTGCTCAGCACAAGAGATGCAAACAGCAAGCAAACGCTGTGGTACACATCTGTGACCCCAGTCTCGGGAGCACCGAGGGGCAGGACTGCCAAGAGCTGGAGACCAGCCTAGGCCACGCGCTGCTCAAAACCCCCAAGAAACGCACCGAGGTCTGCAAGTTCCTTCTCTACAAGAAGCTGACAGGAGGGACTAGAGCAAGCTCCTCCTGAGGGCTGGCCTGAGGCATTAGAACCACTTAGCTGCCCTCCCACAACCACACCCCTTTCTTCAGCTGCACCCCGAGGAGAGGGCACATCCTTACGTCCCACGTGTGTCCATCAGGGTCTGCGCCAGGCCTCAACCTAGCAGGGTCTTCACCAACAACGCCATCTCCGTCCACTGTGCCCCATGAGACCCACCCACTGACTTCACTGTATAGGAGCAGAGACCTTACATCTTCCTCACGCTGGGATGGGTGCTGCCAGGGAGGACCCTGGATGGGATGGGAAGGCCTGACCTCGGCTACCTAGTCAGTGGGCTTTGGGCTAGGGGTGTGGTTTAATAACGTTTCTTGTGACAGAAGTGACACATGCTAATGGTTGAATGCATATGCACAGTAAGGAAGGGGCTCAAAGTCAAAGCTCTGTCCTCTCCCCATCCTTCCTCACAGCCTCAGAAGGGGCCACTGTTATGAAGAGTCCCATGTATCTTTTCAAAACACATGAATGTGAGCTATTCTTCTTAAGGAAAACAATAAATAAACAAATAAAATAAAAAATAAAGGAGCAGGAGTCTATCACCATTTCTACCCTGCATCCTCCCCAGTTGACCACAGGTTTCCAGGAAGCTCATTCCCTAGATAGCCTTCACGGGTAGAATTCTCATGAAGTCACGAGGACTAAAGAGTTCTGCCTTTTGCTTAACTGGCTCCCAAAGAAGGAAGCTTGAGCTGTGCGGTATGTCGGCATCACCAACTGTGAGTTTAGGCTCTGCCAGTACATAGCTAGAGCATAGCCCAGGTGCTAGCACCTTCGGGACTATAAAAGGAAGTGACCCTGACCCTGACCTGCCTTTCTGTACAAACTAACATATTACAACAAACCAGCCTGTCCTCAGAAAAGCACTTGCCGCCACTTCATCACTGAGACACAAAGAGCCACGACGCAGGCAGCAGTAATGTCCCTCCCATCTTCCAGCCCTATTAGCAGGGTTCCTGAAATCGAGTGTTAGGGATGCACACTCTCTTACCCTTCCTGGTGAGATGCTCACAAGAAACAAAAGACCTAGCAAGTGCTGCCAGGAAGGGCGGAAGCTGACGCTCACAGCACCCTCGCCCATCACAAGGGTCTGCCAGCGCTCATGCTCCGTCCTACCTGCCCGAGGCCTCCTTCGGATGGCCTGGCCCCTCTGCTCCACCTCAACCACTGTGTCACCTTTCCTCAGAAATCAGGGGCCCAGCTCATCGCCCTGCAACCAGGTAATCTGTTTCCCAGTCAAGGCACTCTCCTGTGTGGCTGCTTCCAAACTGAGAACGTTCTCCAACAGTAGCTATGGCTCCTCAGCATCCTTCTAAGTCACTCTCTTGCGTGGTGTGAACACAGGCAAAGTATACAACAGTATACTCCATACAGTAATTCAAATCAACTCCACATGCATGCCAAGGCTAGTGTCATGTATATGAGCAAAGACTGCAGGAAAACAGTATTCTATAAACTAAAATCACCCAAGACACAAAAATACCCAAAGCACAGTACCTCGTCCAGCTCCTGTGGTTGTGGTGTTGCCGTCGGGCCGTCCGGGCAGGAAAAGCAGAAAGACATGGGCAGACAGACACACAAGACGTCAGGTGAGGAGACAGCATCAACCTGCTCAAGTCACTACAAAACCCAACACTTCAAAGGCGGCCCTGGATTCCCCCTTCTTAGAAAAAGCTACACCAACATGTGTTTTTATTTACTGTAGTTCTTTTGGTAAAGGAGGTAGGAATCTATAAATAGCTGTAAAAATTAAAATGCATTGTAAACAAGCAAAACATACTCGCTTTGTTTCATAAAAGTATAGTGGTAACCTTTTTTCATAAAGGTCAATTATTACTTGCAATACCATTTCTAAATTTCCTTAGGAAGATAACATAAATGCTAAAATACATTACTGTGTCATATAAATGCTTATTTTTAACATGACAATCAGCTCAGCAAATGCAACTAAATTAAAATATAAACAACCCACAAAACTCTCTACCAATGGCTGCACTCAAATAATACTGCAGCTGCTCTACCTAAGGACGGTGTAAATTAACCCCATGGCCATGGCTTTATCCCCCAGGGATAGAGACACACATGGGAAGAGAAAGAAACACTCCTGTATGGTCTAGGCATGTGTTGTAATTAGGCACAGCTATGTAGAAGGCTACACGGTACTGCAAACTAAGAAGACAGAGCAGAAAGTCAAAGGTCCCAGCTTAGTTAGTATGGGGAAGGGGCAATGGGCACTCAAGGGTTAAATTTCAGTTGAAAATTAAAGCTTCCTTTTCAGATCAACGTGAAACTCTGTCTTCTGAAGAGACAGTTACTAATGACAGATAATCTAAACAACAAGGTCCTTTTTTTCTATGGTATTGATCATGAAAATAATTAGTGGTGAATTTCAATAATCAACTGTGTTGATTTTTTTGTTTACCAGTAAATTAAAAAAATAATTTTCTTATTTAAAAGATTAGTACAAATAAAACTTGATTATTGATACCAAAATATCATACAATGCTAGCAAAAACAAAAACATCAAAACAGCAACAAAATCTACAAAGTAATCACAGATTTCCCCTGCATAGAAATTAAAGGAGAGAGCATCCTGGAGCTGAGCCTCCGGACTCTCCCACTTCGCTAGTGAGAAACTGCATCATGCACCGAAAGCTGCTGTGGGAGAGACTGGGGAGGTCATGTCATGGAAATATCTCATCTCGTCTCACTTTGCTTTAAAAAGAAAACAAAATGTTTTTAAAAAGCGTTGCAGATCCATAAAGAGAGCACAAACATCTTTTGTCAATATCTCAGATAAAAGAAGCCTGCGGTGGAGCCTAGACCCCTTTGAGGGTCCTCCTAGGGCTTCATCTAGGGACGAGGCACTGCGAGCCATCACCTAAGCCGCCTTCCACCTGAGCCCATGCCGCTGAGTTATTAGCTGGCCTCACACATCCTCTTCCTTCCATTCCTCCAATTACTAGGCACTAAAAGGTGAAATTACAACCGTGATAGTCTAGGATTAAAAGCAACACTTATCGAAATACTCAAAACTACACTTCAAAATATCTCAGTCACAGTGTCTGCTGATGACAGTAAGGATGGGGTAGTTCAGGCACGCCACGCCTTCCTTCCCCATCCCAGCCTCCAGCCTCTCTTTTGTTATTAATCATGTCTGGAACACCACCTTTTCAAAGTCCAACCTCATTCTACATCTTAAAAAACAGAAGGTTTTCAAAATTCCTGCCATGAAATTACCAGGAAATTCAGTCATTTAGACCCAAATAAGAACATAAGAATCACCATCAGGAAAATACCTTACACCCATCACCACCTTCTAAAACCTCTTCACCGTCTAAACCAAGGCTTGTGACCTGCCCATGGCATGCAATCAAGCAAACCCTGAAAAATTCCAAGTAGCATTTGGAATTTATAGTCTAAAGAACTTCCTACATAAAACTGAGAAGTGGAGACCCATCTGTGTTTGCTCAGGGTCTGCGAGAGTTGGGCAAACTGAGCTGGAAGTACAGGTCTATGCTATACTGATGTTTACTTTATCCCTGTTGCTGCCAAAATAAAAGTTTGCTCCACTTTGATCCAATAAAGCACCCTCATTGGCAAGCCAGTCCCCCTGCTCAAATGGAGCCTTCACATGCAGGAAAGCAAACACATCCAAAGAGAAATATACAATGACTTCATATGTGGAGCCTACAGAGACATGACTAGCAGACCGAGGAGGCCCTTCGATGAGCAAGCAAGAACTGCCTGTGGATGGCTGTAAAAAGAAAAAGAAAAAAAAAAAAAAAAAAAAAAGGCTAGCCTACTGCAAGGGGGGTGGGGGGAACAATGTAATTAAACAACTAAGTCCTTCCACACCCACTGGGAAGAAGCCAGGGTCACTGTGGCCCAGGTCTTTACCCACAATCCCACATTGGTAAAGTGGGTGACGGGGTCAGTCTCTAAATCCTTTACCCATCACTCTGCTCATCTGAACCCTGAGCACCATCTTCATCCAGGATGACACAAGGTCACACATGGAAAAGGCTCAGCCTTGCCAGGCACACGGTAAGCGTTCATAAATCCTCACTAACATTAGTTAAGCCTGAGTAGGAACTTCAGGTTCCTATAACCAGTTCGTCCTTAGGTTCCCCCCCTCCCCAAAGCACACATTTTACTAAAAAATAATGTGCTAGTTTCAAACTAATCTAGGAGCAATTAACTCTAGCTTCCACTTATGGATTGTGCATGCTTTTACATCAGAGTATAGATCAGGCAGTCAACACTAACCAAGCATTGGCTAACCTGGTTCAGATTCATCTCAAGAGCCAAGAAAACAAGAGCAACACAGCACCTTAATTAACTCAGCACCCCCCTTTCAGTCATTCCAAGATTTTATACTTTTAAATTATTTTAATTTAATTATAAATTTAAATTATTAAACGATAAACCCATTTAGGTTCCTGAAGCTAACGACTTGCAATTGCCTACGCGAGGCACTGACTTAAAACCTGTACTTGGAAGACAGGATGTCAAAAAAGTTACTTTTGCACAGTACTGGAGCCACCCCTGTGTATTTCTCCTCTGTAGCACTGAGCTGACAGCTGCCGCTGTTGTTGACTATGGATTTCTCCCTTCCAATGTAAAGGTAAGGTTGTGTGCTTTGTCAGGGAAAGCAGTATTAAAACAGAGCTGCAGAAACACACCAGAGATCACCGCACTCAAAATCCTCAATTTAGCAAGGAGACAAAAGATGTCCAAAAAGATTACATCCACAGCAGAGCAGGGCTTAGACTAAATTCCCAGACTTCCATCCATCACTCTCCCCTTATCATACACTGCCGAGGGTAACCATGATGGATGCCCCAAACCTAAGGCAGAACACGGCTCCTGAAAATTACCAACAAGTGCCTTTAGCTTGGACACAAAAATCAAACCCCAGTCTGTTTTTAACAATTAACTTTACTAATATATACACAAAAACACAAATGAATAGATTGTGTATAGTTGTTGTGCTGAACTTTAAAAAGAATACAGAGAAATCAGCCCTCATGCAAAGAAATTTAAACTATGCGTCTGACACGGGACGGCTGAGCCTAGAAAAAAAGCTCCAGGGAATAAGGTAGCCGTGGGGTCCACATGCAGGAAGAATCAGTATTCTATTCCGCCAGCACCAGGAAACAGACCCTCAAGGGGGAGACTGCTGGCATTGATAAAGGAAAAGATCCTTCACAAGTAAAATGTGACAGCTGCCAGAACGCTGTATCCATCACAGAAGAGTCCAGCAAGGACACATGCCGGTGCCACAAAAAGGGACACTGGGCCAAAGGCCATTAGTCCAGTCTGGTCTTTGGGATTTTTGTTGTTGTTGTTGTTGGCTGGTTTTGCTGCCTGCAAGTCCTCCTTAAATCCTTCCGTATCTGTGACACATTTAGCCGTACCTAGCTGTAAGTCTATGTGCATACATAGCCTCTTACTGAAGCTATCACCATCAAACCTGTAGTTTTCTATTTAAACCACTATTTTAAAAGTATGAGCTTCTTGTTTTAAATGTTAAGGCTTCTCTTGTGGTTTGTTTCCAGTTGGACACACATCCACACACACTTTGTAATCCATTTTCTGCAGTGCTATCCTCAAATAAGGGTGTGGGAGCTCAACATTTCATTTTTAAATAAAATCTACTAATTTAGATATTTACATTTAATTACACATGAGACAATAAACACAATAAAATCAATGTCTACAGTTTCCCCTTCTAATTAGAATTTTAAAATTCCAGATAATGATTTTTAAAAATTAAATTCTCAGGTTTGGCTACTTCCCTTTTAATTATATGTTCAAATATTTAATTACAAATTGTCTCTTTTGTCTTATCTGATTAAGACAAATATATACTTTTTAAGTTTCTATCTGTAATTTTTCCAAGCTGAAAAATGTCCTGAGAAAATGCAGTGGTAAAATGTCGGTGGCATATAAGTGCATCGGCAGACTTAACAGTTTGACATTAGAAATGCTCTGCCTTTCTACAGCCTCCACTTTTGAGCACAGAGTATATAAAATAGGTGCCCTTTCAATATTAAACATGTCCATAGATGTCTAATAAAATTAGCAAATGCAATTATAATTGTTTAGATAATCTAATATCCTGTCCATATTCAAAGCTGACCGATAGTTTTGATTTACCACATGATTTTGAAATTTGCAAGTCAAAATGTAGTTTTCAAATTTAAGTGAGCTAAAAGCACTGTATGAACAATGCTGTTGTTTTTTAAAATTGTCTTAACTATCTTTTTCTTCAAATTATTTATTACTTTCTTAACTACCAGAAGTCATAAAAAATTGTAATCACTACTGTTACTATCTTGACATTCTTTTTTATGTGCAGAAATAATTCATGAAAAAATAAACAAACTGAAAATATAACACAGTTCATTCTTAACACAGATTTACAGCATGCATTTTTTTTTTTAATGAACACAATTAAAATATAGAAATGTGGAAATATGTTTTTGCCTTTTAAACCCTAACTCAGGCAAGCTAATTTCGATGAACTGCAAAGAACTGCTTTTGGAGTACTCCGAACTGACCATGCACGCAGGCATTTCCTTTCAGTCATCTAAGAAAAATGCCGGGAGCACAGGCTAATAAAAGCATTCAGTATTTTCAATAACATGACATATGAAAACATTTTTAGTCTTAAATTCAACAAGAAATTTTGTAGCATTTATAAATCACTTTCAAAAAACTGAATTTGCTAAATAGATCTGTATATTTCTTGACATCTGCTTTTCCAAACCATATAATATAGCTAAGCAATTTTATTATTTTATTACACACATTTTAAATATATAAAGATACATATTCAAACAGTCTAACTTAGAAAAACATTTAAAATGCAGCTGGACTGGACAACACATTTTTGAAAAGCTGCCTGTCTGAGACATCGTGTTTTTAAACTCTCTGAATTAATTGCTAAATTTTTTTTCTTACATTACCCAAAGGTTCAGGGTTTAAATTTAAACAGAATTAAATTTAAAAAAAAATCAAACAATATCTTTTCCATTAATTAAAATTGAGACCTTAGAGGCTTTTTAGCACCGGTTTAGTGCTGGATTGTTTTTTCCCCCCTCCCCATGAGGTAGCATAAAATTAAGTCATAAAGAACAGACGGCTTCTTATTAACATAACGGGAGACCCAGCTGTATTCATCCCATCTCCACTCACTATTTCTCAGTTAATATCTGGAGACCTTTTTCAGAAACCGTGTTAGAATGAAGCCATTTCCATGCTAAGATTTTTTTTCCTACTTATTTCTATGTAATATTATTACTTTCACTTTACAATGTTAAAAACCCTTCAAATGTAAATATAAACAAATGCCCCTGCACCCTGGGAGCTAGTTTTCTATGCCTTGTGACTTAAGTTTACATCCTGCACATTTTATTCTTAAGACTGCTCACACGGCTGCTTCAAATCCCTTTTTCTGTGAATAATATGGCCAAGCATAATTTCCACGGTGACTTAAAAAGGGCACAACTGTCTTGGCAACACATTGACAATCACAGCACAGAGCTTAATTTTTCATTAGCACTTCGATAAATGATAAAAGAAAAAATTAAAAGACAATACAGCATCTAAAAGGTGGGAAAGATACAGGGTTCCACAAATTGTATTTCAAAAACAACCTCCTAAGGTCTTGGGGTGACTGTTCACTCCCCTATGTTCCGAGGCTGCCTGCATTCAAGCCTCCCCTTTTCAAGTAAGGTTATTACAAAGCTAACAATATTCGTCTGGACCACTCAGACCTGCCCCTATCTGGGAGGGCAGTAGACTGAGGCTCAGGAAGTCAAAGCCCGCATCAAAAACAAACCACATACAGCAATCTTTCTGGAACATTGCTTTGAAAAAGAAAAACAACAAAAAACCTCACGACTGCTAGACCAAGTGAAGTTCCAGTCAATAAAATCAAAAACCATGCGCTATTTTGGGGTAATTTTCACACCCTATTCATGTTTTTTAAAAATAAGTTTGAATGGAGGGGAAAGCTTAATTTCTTGTGTGGGGAATGGAAAGCCAAGTGCCTAGCACCTTGCAATCTCACAGACACGAGGCCAGGGGCACACAGCAGAGCAGTTATTGGGGTGCATGGCGACACCCCAATAACCGCTTTGCTGTCAATAACGGACTGAGGCCGTTTGAAGAAAAATGGTGGTAAAATAAAGTGAGCACAAACATCCTCTTCCCCACACACACATCCATCACACACACACACACACACACCACTACCACCCCCAACCCCCCCACCCAACCATCACACACACACACACACCACTACCACCCCCCCACAACCATCACACACACACACAGACACACACAACATCTTCCTGGATGGGGGTGGGGGAGAGTTCTCTCTGCAAGGGTTTGAGTGAGCTAACCAACCACCTGGCCCAAAGAACCAAAGTGAAGCCATTGCAGGGGGAGGGGGGAGAACTCCAAACAAAACAAGGAGAAAGGCCTAGATTCCAAGTCCTCGTGGTTAAAACATATGTAAACTGAAGCTGCCTGGCGTGCTGTGGCGAGGGAGGGCGGGGGAGGGGGACTGGGAGGCCCACAGACGTGAGAAGGGAAAAGTAAGGTAGAGGCGGGCTTGAAACTGTGGTCCCATTGGGGTTTGTAGGTGCCCCCATGACCCCTAGCCAGGGAGCCCTTCCACTTAAGTATCACTCCTAATCGTCGTCTTGTTTTTCTTTCTTTCTTTTTTTTTTTCTTTTTAGACAAACAGACAGAGACAGACAGACAGGCAGAGCCGCAGTGCACACGGTGTGTGTGTCTGGAGAGGCTGCCAGGAGACTCACCGCAGCAATGCTACGTGAATGCAGAGGGCTGGAGGTGGTGTGACTACTCACTTGCTCGGCTAACAGCTGCCGGTTTTGGATGGAATTATTCCGCAACAACAAGAAAGCGTCGGTTAAACGCCTGGTGGCCATGTCTCACCTCTGTGACCCCCCCTCTCAGGGCCCCCACCCCCTTATAGTCTTGATTTTTTTTTTTTACTTTCTCTCACTCTGGCCTAGCTGGTCCACCCTTGCACAAAAAAAAAAAAAAATCTCTCTTGACAAGGCCTCAGGCCAAAGAGGAAAAAAAAAAAAAAAGGTGCAATTTTGCGCTCCGCCAAAGCGCAGAGACCCCTCCCCAAATAACAAACCCAGGCTTTCCAATTGTCTGGCTCCCCCTACCCAAGCTCTGGCTCGGATCTCTAAGCACTAGAATCCCCCCAATCCTAGCGTCTAAACCTAACGTCCTGGAGACCCCTCCCCAATCCAACCGTGGATCTACAAGCGTCTCAGCCACCAATCAGGAGCGAGAGTGGAAAAGACCCCTACCCACTCATTCTCTAAGACTTCCCCCAAGGTCTGGGCCTCGAAACCCTCACTGAGCGCCTGCGTGTCTGGCATGTGGCTCAAACTCCAAAATTTGGTCAACTCTCCTCACAAAAGGCCTGCTCCAGACACAGACAGGCCTGAGCCCAGAACTACAAGAGAGCGTCTGCAGCTCCCTCCCGAGTCGGATGAGCCCCCTGGGGCTCAGAGCGACCCGACCCCGTCCTTTCCCGGGCGGCCTGGCCCTGCACGGCCAGCAGGCTGCAGGCCTCCACCAGGACCTCACGGCCTGCCCCCACGGCCTCCTCACTCCTCGTCGCCGGCACCCTCCATCCCGGGATATGGCTGCTACCCTGCCCCAGGGCCGTTTCCGTGCTGTGGTCCCGGGCTCTAGCGTTCCCCAGCCCTCTTCCTGTCCGTCCCTCGCGGGTGCCCCCCTGCGATGTTCATGAGCTTTGTTTGTAACGTTCCGGGAGAGGGATGTCCCTTGTTGCCCTGCCCCAGGGGTGGGAGCGCCCCGCCCTCTCCGGGGTATTTCCCGGGGTGCCCTGTTTCCCTTCCCCTAAGTGTGTGCAGGCTCTGGGACGGGCGTCCTGGCCCCAAAAAGGCTTCAAAAACTTGGCCCTGGAGCTGAAAACCACTGCTAGGGTCCAGGCAATTGTAAACTTCTAGTAGAACTGCCAAGCAGACAGTGTGGCTCTTGCAGAGCCGAGCCCTGTGCGGGGGCGGAGGAAAAGTGGGAGACAGTGCCTCTGCAGGCCAGGCACGCTCCACTGCAGGCGGCTGGCGCTGCTGAGATGGCTTTGCCTTTTTTTTTTTTTTTTTTTTTTTTTTTTTTCTGAAAAAAAAAGAAAGAAAGAAAAGTATCCAAAAAAACAACCAGGCAATAAAAAGGAACAGAGAAAAAAAAGCTTGAGTTCCAGGCCTTGCTGAGGACAGTCAGGGGTCGTCGGCCCCCACCCTTGGCCCCCACACTCTGAAGGGGGCACTACAATGTTGTGCTTGTCAGGGAACGTTTTTAAGCTAACTTGGAGACCCCCACGTCAGTCCCACTCCCCCCACCAAAACAACTCTGCGCTGTGGCTATGGCTGCCTTCGATCGAGCTGGGCCTTCGGGTGGCCTCCCAGTCTCTGGACTCACTGCTAGTCTGCCTTGGCTTCGGGGTACTCGCCGAGGGCCCCCCAGGGCCGCCCCAGCCGCATCCCTAGAGCAGGGCTGCCCACGAGGCCGGGTCACCGGCAAGCCAGGATGCCAGACCTGTATCTGCAGCGCCAATTCATGGGGTGCTAGCTTTGGGGGCTGCATCGGGGACACCTTGGTCACACTTGGGGTTGCCTATGTCTCTCGGCCTCCGGTCCAGGCGAGCCAGGCGTTTGGGCGAGGCAGGGCATTGGAGCCCGGCAGGGTCAGGCGCAGGAGCGACGGATGCCTTTCCTCTTAAGGACGAGTGTTTGTGTGCAACTAAATATTCGCGTGGAAATGTTCGTGTGCAAGTACGCATTTGTGTGAAAAGTATCTTTGGGGCACATAACACAATGAAGGCGTGGAAGAAGAATCCAGGCCCCGGCGAGCAGCGGTGGAGAGGATGGTGGGGACCGGCTGCCACTGCCGAGCTCGGTGTGGACCCACACGCCCACTCCCCGCACAGCTGCCTGCGATCAGCAGGGACTGTTCGGGGGACGACAAACAGCCCAGACCCCGCAGGAGGCCGTAGAGCCCTGCACTCGGCGGCTCCAAAGCCACAGGCCCGGATTCATCTCGTGGAGAGAAAAGCGAGGAACCCTGTGTAGACCCCGAGAGCTATCTGAGCAATGCAGGAAGGAAGGGTTCGGTTGCCAACCAGCAGCAGACCCCTCCAGTGAGAGCCGACCCTAGTCACGTGGCAAAGCCCCCTCCTCCTCCTTCTTTCACTGCACTCGGCGTTAGTAAACAACCGCCGAGCCGGCTCAGGCAGGAACATTGGATTAGAGCTGTGGGCCTCTTCTCTCCTCCATTCTCCAGAGCACACATCCCCCCCCCCCCTTGCAGAGCAGGGGCCTTGTTTACTTCTGGCTAGAACCTGATCTTCCTCCTACGCTGGACGGCTGTGTTTTAGTCATCTTTGTACCCACTGCCATCTCATCTGGCTTGTAACAAGCTCTGAATAAATGGTTTTTAAATGCGTGCACGAATATTGGAGACCTGAAATTAAGTTCCCAAATGGTCTGACCTCCATCCAGCGTCACTAAAGCCTTTAGAGCTTTCTTTTAGCGTATATATTTTAAATGTATACATACATATATATATGTCCAGTTTTAATAATTTTTGCAAACCGTGACTTGCCCATCTCTCACCGATTATTGTGAAGATCAAATACAAGCACTTTGTAAACTGTCAGATCCCGGACAAATAATATATAAAATGGTAATTTATTCATTTTCTGCATTCGGGAAGCTTAGCAGAGTAATTCGCAGTGTTGGGCTTCAGTCCACGGTGACGGCCCTTCTTGATAAATCTTAAATATTTATTGTAAGACATTTAGGAAACCAACCAAGCTTGCATCTCTTTGAGAGAGACGAACAGTGTTCGCACATATGAATAATAGAACAAGAACTCTCTTATTCTCCAAACAGGTACCCCAGGCAACTCTGGAGCCCAGCAGGAAGGATATGGGAGAATACAGGAGCCGGAAGGCACCTGGGAGCAGCTAAGCCCTGGCCTCATGGAGGCGCAGGGTTCTGGGCAGGGACTGGTGTTAGAGCTGGGGAGAAGGCCTGTCTCTCTACCTGTCTGCGGTTATGCCCTTGTAGGTTCTACCCTGCATTACAGAGGAGCAAGAACCTCTCTCTCTCTCTCTCTCTCTCTCTCTCTCTCTCTCTCTCTCTCTCTGTGTGTGTGTGTGTGTGTGTGTGTGTGTGTGTGTGTGTGTGTGTTAGATCATTTTATTCCAACGTTCTTGGCTGTTTTATTTTTCTGTCCAGTAGCTTCAGATTTTTTTTTTTAAAGCATTCCCTTGTGTCCAAATATGTGTTACCCTGAAACTGAAATCTACGTTGATGGGTTTTATATTTTAAAGGCTTTCACTGTGACTCATTCTTGGCCTGGGGTAGGATTCTGCAATCCTCCCCAAGCTTCCAGAGCCTTGGTGTCCTGTTTCTTGGACTTCAGACCCACTCTCTAATGTTTTGCCAATGGGTCCACGAAGTCCCTTTTGGGAACAAGTGTTCCATTGTCTACTTGTCATCCTAGTCAGTGCCGAAGGGGGCCATAAACATGAACTTTCGTTGTAAAGGCAGGCTCTCAAGAGCAGGCTGGTGGCTTGACAAGACGGGTTTGCAGCACCGTGAGAGTCACACAGCCGTTAGGGAAGAAATTTAAAGGAAATGTGGCTGGTAAAGCCCTTAATCCTCAACACAGTGAGCGTGATGGGAATGTGTCCCTGCAGCAGTCCTGCCATCTGAAAGCACTGGTTGGGTCTGCACTCCCAAAGAGGGAGGCATAGTTGTGGGAACTGAACATCATCCAAGCACATGTTGGAGATTCCTGTTTAATGGTTTGGGAATGCAGATGTGGCTGGAGTGTTCCCTCATAGGAAGGGAGTTTAGCTAGTCCCAGTGGACACCATTGAGTTTTGACCTTCTAAAAGGCAGGTGGCCGTTCTCTCCCCCAGATGAGCAGCAAACATCCCTTAGCCCACAAAGAGGCTCGCTTGCACAGATCTCATCAGACAGGCAGACGTGGGAAACAGCAGCTTTGTATTCTATCCACCTAAATTGTTGCTCACAGCCTCAAGGGTTTCTGACCCCAGAAAGCTTCTTCCCAGCTCTGCCTTCAGCTCTCATGCTCATTCCAAAGCAGAGAATGGCAAGAGACATGGGTTTTGTTTCCTGCAGACTTCATTAGCTTTCTCTCCTAGGCAATTCGATTCTATAAGCGTTTCTCAAATCCTACTGGTGGCAGGGGATAGCTCTTGGTCAAAGGGGGCAAACAGACCCAAACTCTGGCCCCCAAGGGATTTACCTCTCCACTTCAGGTGCCCAAAGTCTAACTTTCATCATGTATACTTTTCCAACAGCCCCATTACAACCACACGTCTCTTTTCCTTCATCCATTCTCTGTAGTGCAGCCGCTGTGACCTTTCCAGCACGCAAATCTGATCATGTCACTGCCTGATGGAGGCCCCCGAGACAGCTCCCTCTGGCCACAGCAGCCGTCTTCAACCGCCTGCATAAAGCAGGTGTTATCTCAGCTGGGCTATCACTAATATTAAGTAATGACAGTCCCCTCTTGGTTGGCAGAAAAAATTAAGCTAATGGATGGACTAGTCTCCATCTTAAGTATTTTCTCTCCTCATTTTCTCTTAAAGCACCGGGCTCTGCTATCACACGGCTGTATTAGAATATAGTGTGGGAGTTAATTTGATTTCTCCCAGGAGGGTTCATTTCATCACTGTTTTTCCCTCCCTCATGGTCCCATCTTTCCTGGTATTGGGCATACAGGGCCTTCATTCTGTCCCTCAACAGAGAGCCCTTGGGATGGAGGGCAGCATCCAAAGCCCTTTCTAACTGGCTCCACAATGTAAGCTGCTTCCACTCCAAGGCTTCAGTAAAGACCTTTTTCTGCAAGGGTGGGCTCTTCCCATTTTGGTTGGGACATGCTTCCTTCCCTACTT